TAGGGCAACCCCTGGAGGCTTCTTTTGTCACATTCCTACTGGGGAACGAAATCGCCAGTCGATTTCGTTCGTTCCTCGGGGCCGACCTAGCGTCTGAAGATGACCTTCTCGTGCGACGGCGCTGCTGTCATTTACGGAGGGTGCCGGAAAAAACTCTTGACGAAAGCACTCCACCTTACGCGCTCCAAGAGAATAACGAGGACATACCAACCACTCACCGAGGTTCAACGTGATCTCCTTCCTGTACTCCGTAGGCTTTGTCGCGGTCCGGGCTGTGTGTGCTGAGAACTCTGGCCCCAAAGGTAATGCTCTCGTGGCATGCGCGCATGGCGCGGCGAGTTTTTTTGTGCTGGCCCCTTCCCGGGTACCGTGTCTGCTGAGCTACCATGTACGGAGCCCCGTGGGGCCTTTTTTTTTGCTTTTTCCACCGCGTGCAACCCGGGTGGACCTGCAACCATCTGAAATTCGTATGTTGGAATCAGCCCGCACCCACACCTTGATCAGCTAGCTACACATCGCACCGCCACCCGCAGGACCACTCAACCTTACATCCATGGCCGCGACAACGGTACCTGGCTGCTTTGCGTGCCATGTGGACTGTGCAACGGGCTGTTCCGCCGACGATCAACCCTTCGATCACCCCGACTACGCTGACTACAAAATACCGAGCTTTGACGAGAAGGACGCGGACGAGGCGGAGCTGCGATCGACGCGACTGCATAGCAATAATAGCAAGGAGGAGCCCCACGACTCAGATAAAGGGGTGGAGATCAGCACGGACGAGCCTGTGAGTGATACTGGAGTGCGTGTTGAGGAGATTGGGTGGATCTGCTGCTGCTGGTTGTTTCGTTCACATCTACGACAACAGCAGATCTGCCGGTGATCGTGAGAGACCCTTCGCCGCTTGATTTTCTGGCCAAGCGCTGTAGACTAGTCTTGCGATTTGATGAGGGAATACAGGTGTCGTCTTATGAGGGTGAGCCTCGCCATCGCCAACTCACGCCAAGGGGATAGAGCACGGCTCTGAACCTTGTCCATGGTGTGACAAGAGGCGATGACTCTCGGTCTTCCTGCTGCTTGTACGTTGATACATGCCAGCATTTTGGAAAACACGACTTTACCCCCTACTCGTTTGCCCCTTTTTGGCCAAGTTCCCGCGAATGCTCATTTTCCAGTTTTGGTGGGCCGGAACCAGAACAAAAACATTGGCTAGCGATCCATACGCACCGTCATCATGGTTGATTCCCATCACCGTGAAGACTACGTACTCCCATCAAAACACAGCGGATGTGGTGCAGAACTGCTGTAACTTTCGATGAAGAAGAGGATCATCCATTTTGGCGAATTGCAAATAGCGTTGTTGACTCTGATGCCACAGCAGCAACAAGTTAAAATGTTGTACACCCTCGAAATAACACCTTCCTTCTACAGGAGTCGTATTTACTCCTTCCCAGCAACATACAGATAGATACAACAGACGGCCGGGAATCCAAACTGTCTTATTGACCCTGTTACCCACGGGGGAGATATCGCTGTGTGCTGCTCGGGAATCATGGAAATACAGGTAGCCTTCGCTGACGCTATGGATTCATTGCCAAGTAATCTCTCCCCCTCTTCCCCTCGCTGCCTCGGCAAGTTTTTGCGTAAGCATGACCCATAGCGAGGGGGGGGGGGGGGGGGGGGGGGAGGGGGCGTACTCTTATGTTTTGCATGTCTTAGCGGTTAGACCATTGACGGGGGGGAGGGGGGG